AAATGCAGAAAAAACCTCTCAGCCCGAAACCCTGGAATGAGTAACTGAATCCTAAAAGCAACCAGAATCACAACAGCAACCGAACGTGAAAGAGTCGACCTGACGCCCCACGACCTACAAACTGGTAGGTCTTGATCCCTCAACCATCATAGGGTAGAATTCGCAACACACGTGGGAACTTCAGGCCACAAGCAAGTCCTAAGGTGCTCAACCTTATGACCCTCAGCCCTAAAGCCCAACGCCTGCAACCCCGCACCCTAAATGCTAGCTCCTGCAAACCCCGAAGTCCTCACCTCAGGCCCGGTCCCCCCCGTAAGCCGCTGCTTCGCTTTCCGGCGGTTTCGGGAGCTTGGGGTTCAGGTCGCGGTTTGCGGCGTAGGGCTTGGGGTTTTAGGAATTACCTCTAGTCTCCATTGTAGTTCCTTTTTTGGGTTACCTTTTAGGATCCTTAATCTAGAACTGGTTAAACCAACAAAAGGAACTACAATGGAGACTATAGGTAGGCTCTGGGGTTTAAGCCCTTTTTTCGTCTACTCCAGCGAAAGCCAGTTGAGCTCTCTGAGCTACCACCACTCAGAAGGGCTTGGGTTTAGGTTTTAGGGTTGGGGTTTAGGGTTTAGGGTTTAGGGGTTTAGGGTTTAGGGTTTAGGGTTTAGGGTTTAGGGTTTAGGGGTTTAGGGGTTTAGGGGTTTAGGGTTTAGGGTTTAGGGTTTAGGGGTTTAGGGGTTTAGGGGTTTAGGGTTTAGGGTTTAGGTCTAGGGCCAGGGTGTACGCATACGAAGGTTTTGGCGCGCTAGCAGGGTTTGAAGCTCTTCAATGTACTCGAGGGCTCAAAAGTCACTACGACTCCGAAACAAAACAGCTCGAGCAGTGGATAGGGCCCCCGAAAAAGCACATAAGCAAAAATTAGGATAGGGATATCCCATATAAACCCCCTTTTCACAAGCCCCTTAAGGCAGGGATGTCCCTATAAAATGCTTATGCTTATGTGCTTTTTTTGGCCCCTACGTGGAGGAGCAACACACAACCTTCAAAAAGGTCGATGGCGGCGGGAGCCCGGGATGCTCATTTAAAGGGGAAAAGGAGGGACCCTTAATGGGGACCCCTACCCTACTAGGATACCCAGTAACCTAAGAATAAAAAGGCCTCTCTTTTTGGTATTGGGTAACTTTATAAGGAACCTAGGACTACAAAAAGGGAATAAGGGTACTACTGGGCATCCTAGCTATAATGGGCTATATAATGGGTATATGATGGCTATATTAAGGGTATACCTAGAAGTCCTTATTAAGAGTCCCTCCTTTTACCCTTGGACTCAAGTAAGCAACACACCTTCAACCACATAAAGGTTGCTTTACCGTTTACGGGCTGACGTTCTCTCAACTGTATTGGGCTCGGCGTGAGATTCTGATGTTGCACTTTTTGGAACGCGCGTGGTGCTTCAATCCGCAAGAGGAACAGGAGCTTCCAGATCCGGTAGCTGGACCATGCCAAATGTCTTCCAGTTCAGGTGCCATGCAAAACAGTACTGTTTCCAGTTTGAAGACGGGCTATAAACACCCAAACACTGTAACCTCTCTAACCAAACTTTATAATACGGACGCTTGAGGGGTGATGCTGCAAGCCGAATTGCGGCCTGACAGAAGCGTGTCGCAAGTAAAACTAATCTAGGATACCCAGTAACCTAAGAATAAAAAGGCCTCTCTTTTTGGTATTGGGTAACTTTATCAGGAACCTAGGACTACAAAAAGGGAATAAGGGTACTACTGGGCATCCTAGTAATCTATCCACCCTACCAGGGCTCCGACCCCTAACCTGAAACAAGAAATCCTGAACCCGATAACCCTTAAAATCCATCTGGGTAGTTGTCAAAATTAGGGTCCCTTTTTGGGTCCCTATATTATAATACGGCACCTAAAATTTAGGGTACCCAATTACGGACCATAATTTTGATGGGTACCCCAAAAAGAGACCCAAATTCTGACAACCACCGATCTGGAAACCCTACCACAACGCAGCAGCCAAGGTTTAGGGTTTAGGGTTTAGGGTTTAGGGTTCGGATTCCTGCCCCAATCTCCGAGCACTCCTGCTCAGTCGTAAGGAGCCTGCAGTCGCAAGGGCTGTGTGGAGTGGCTATACCTTCTAGTACTCTAGTACCCCTTAAAGCACCCATGAAAGTAAGATCCCTGTTCGTACCCCGTAGAGTACCCTTCATAACACATCTTATAGCGACCCCCGCTAAACCCTAAACTCTAAGCATAACGGGTCGACGGCCAAAGCTCCCGAGCTGGAAGCACTTCGTCACGTGGCCATAGGGGCCAGGCGAGCTTGTGCCGGGTACTTTCCTTGTGTGCCCTCTTCGGGGCTTAGGGCTTAGAATCTTAGAATTTAGGACCTTCTTCGGTGGATATCAAGACAGTTCAGAGGACTCCGTATGTAGGGTTAAAAGTACCTTAACTCATGCTACAGAGGTAAAGATAGCTCCAATTACTCGTACCTTGCTCCTAACCCTACTTCCCTTGATCTTCCAAGTAGTGCCCTCTACCTGTTCAGAACCCGTAGAAACCTTTAATGCAAACCTCTTCTAGAACTAACGCAGGATCCTGGCTACGGTTCCAGAGACTCCCAAACCCACTAATTAAGGAATATCGCTTAAGCTATAATAGGCACCAAATACGATTTAAGGTGTAGTCCCTCTTAAATTACAATGGAAACTCTAACATGATCTAAGGTACTTGGAGAATCAGGGGACTTAGGAAGTAGGGATATAAGTATGGTAACTATAGTTACATGTACTTATATCCCTAACTAAGGTACTTATTTTTCTACTTACTAAGTCCCATGATCCTCCAAGTATAGCCCTTCCATTTAGGGGGTTTGGAGTCCCTGGGAAGTTTGAGGCAAAGGCACACAAGTACCCAGCCTGTGAGGCTGGCCTTGGAAGCCTGCGGACCCTCGGTCCCTAGTAAGACTTAGGCTTTAGAGTTTAAGGTAGTAACACATAGGGTCTAGTGTTTAGGGGAGTAAGACTTAGTGACTTGGTGTTTAGGGTACTGTAGTCAAGATAGTGGTGCTTCGCGTTTGAGGTGCAAGTGTTACGGCTTGGGCTAAGATTTGAATCAGGTTGTATCAGGGTACCACAGTCTGATGCAGCACGTAATTGCAACAGTTTGTGGTCAAGCATCATGTCGAGATGCAGGAAGACCCAAAATCAGTCACGCAGGGGCCTGAATAATTAGAATACGGTTTTTGGGTTCCATATTATAGTTACAGTATAATATATACCCCAAAGTACATGAAGAAGGCGAGTGAGATTACCGCTAGGAGTGCGGGGGGCCTGTCATGGGCAACGATAGGAGGGCACTTGGAGGATCAGGGGACTTAGTGAGTAGGGTTACAAGTACCGGAATTAAGGTTATAAGTAGATATAACTATAGTTACCTTACTTACAAAGCCTACTTACTAAGACCCGTGATCCTCCAAGCAGGGTTTTGGGTCTAGGGTTTAAGGCCGCCTGTGGAGGAGCATTTCCTGATGAACCAGTACGGTTGATGACATAAATCCTGCATTTTTTAAGGACCCTAAACCATGGGAATTATGGTATATTCCCTATATGGGAAATGCAGGATTTATATCATCAGCAGTACCAGACATACTGGGCGTTTTCGGGCTATAGGCATCTGCGCATGCCGCCGGCGTCGACGTCGGGTAGGAGGTCTTCTGCGAAGGGTTAGTATGGAAGATGGAACCTGAAGCATCCCTAAACTATGATCGCTTTCGGGGTTAGCTATAGAGTCTCATGCAAAGGTCCTATTGGCTTGTATGAGGACATCTTCTAGCATTATAGTAAGGAGCCCTGGGGAATGACCCAGAGAGCCCAATACCCCTTAATTAAGGAATATAGGAATATAGCTTAAATCATAATATGAAGCCCTATATAAGTTAAGTCATATTCCTTAATTAAGTTGTATTGGGCTCTCTGGGGATGTTGGAAGCACTTCAAGCCCTGATGTTACTCAGAATCCTCGACCTTCTCTGCTATACTTGGGTTTCCACTGCTAGTGCAGGGACAAAGCTAACTAAAATAGGTCGCTTGAGGTACATTATACTGTAACCAGATAGGACCTACAGCTGATATGTAACAAATTTTCAAAAGATCCCAAGGCTTCTATATTACATCAACATCCTCATGCTCTTAAGGTAAAGTATAGGGGATTCTAGCACCAATCCTCCTAAACTTATGTTCCAGCTTTCTGGGGTTCACTGTACATTAGTGTAGGGCCCGAGGCTTTGAAAGGCGCGGTGCATGTCTTCGGCATGAAGCGCCCGCCACACGCAGGGCAAAGATGCGAATCCTCTTGGAGGATGGCTGGCCGAGGGTTTAACCAGGAATTGTGTTCAAAACGCATCTTGTGCCTATCTACCAGATAAGCCACAAATATCAAACAACACCGAGCAACGGTATGCTCATGTTATATATATATATATATATATATATATCCAGTTGTATATGTGTGTTACATGCATACATGCATACGTAAGTGCGGAAATACATACACACATACATACATACATACATACATACTTACTTACATACCTACATATATACGTACATGTACATACTACATACATACGCTTTCGGGCTTGTGTTTAGGTTACGATCGGCAAACTTAAACTCATGATACTGTCACAACGAAAATGCGGGGACACATTTACCAACTATTCAAAAGTCTTTCTGTTTTAGCTGGAAATCCTGGAGCCCCAAAACCCACGGCCCTGCTTGGAGGTTCAGGGGACTTAGTCAGCAGTGTTTGAAGCACAGTACCATAACTAGTACATACAAGTATAGATACCTTGTTCAGAACTCTGCCTAAGCACTAACTCCCATGATCCTCTACCTGTAGCCGGAAAGACCTGCCGTTTTAGGGTTCCTTATTAAGGTTGCTATGTATAGTTGCTAGAAAAGGTAGGTCTTTTCGGCTACAGGTAAGTGCCTCTTTTCAAAACAGCTTCCCCGTCGTCTCAATGGACGGCTTCGCCTCGGGTCCTGCGTTCAAAGTGATCGGGCCAGTTCTTCGCAGAGTCATAGGGCTTACCTCTAGGGTTTAGGGTTTAGTGTAATCTAGGGGCCTGAAGAAGTAGAATAGGGGTTTTGGGGCTATTATAATGAGTAATGAGTGTATCGGCGATGAACACGAAGGAAATTTCGTTGGTGATTTCTCAGGCCCCCGTAGTACTCTGGGAGCCTTGATGATCAACATTTTATGGGCCTGGGTACATTCTAGTAGAACGACAATGAGGAGGTGTATGGAATAGCACCAGCAATTCTTGCTTCTTCGGCGTTCAAGCTTAAGATTTGGGTCTAGGGGCCTACTTGAATACCTATCAAAACTATCTCCACAAGCCATGAACCCAAACCCCGATCAAACATTGAAAACTCCTACAGAACCGAAAAAACCCTACAAAACCTCGAATGAAGCACGACAGAACCCTATTCACCTCTGAAACTTCTCACAGCTGCAACCCTAAGCCCTAAACTTCTCGCAGCCCCTAAAGTCACTTGGCAAAGTCAGTTACATGGAGGTTCGTGTGCCGCAGGGTTGGCCTCCAACAACCACTGCGCTGACAACGACGGTGCCGTTGTTGTTGTTCTCCTCGGCGACTGCTTAAACCAACTGTTCTAGCGATATTCCGTGGTAGTCATCTTATGCCTACACTACTTATGTGCAACGCTCTTAAAGACCCGTTTGTCATTGCTGAAGCCCCTGTGTTGTCTTTCCTCTCGGGGTTTGGGGCTTAACTGGGCCTAGCAGCCAGAAACGCGAGTGAGCAGAGCCCATTGCCCTCTCATCCACGATGACACGTTAAGCTTTGACTAGGCTTCTGAGTAACCCCTTTATAATAAGGCTACCCTTTTTCCTACTATTCGGTTTTAATAAGGGGACCCTAAACTAAAAAGGGCAAAAGGGCACTACTCAGGAACCTAGTTGATCAAGTACGCAGCATTTAAGCCAAGTCGATCAGCGAGTTGGATCCTTGAACTTGCGTGATTTCGAAAACTAGGATACCCAGTAACCTAAGAATAAAAAGGCCTCTCTTTTTGGTATTGGGTAACTTTATAAGGAACCTAGGACTACAAAAAGGGAATAAGGGTACTACTGGGCATCCTAGAAAACATTGCAAAACCCACACCGACACAATAAGCTCGAAAACCTAAACCCGAAACCCCGAACCCGAAAGCATAACATACCCAAACTCCAGAGCCTAAACGAGGAGCTCAACAAGGTGCATGAACGCTCCTGTAAACCCCTTCGCCTTATCCATTCCAGCATAATACAGCGGTCTCAACAATTAGTACAGGGTTTCAAGGGTCCTCGTAAGGATTCAGACACGGTTACTTGCAGAGATTCTGTAAAGGTTGCCATAACGGTGACTGCAAGGGTTGAGTATAGGGCCTTTGATGATTAGCATACCCTTCTGCCGGTCTTTTACAATTTGCTTAATTAGAGTAAATAGCCCCAAGGAATAATTAATACTACTAGTTTGAATTGTTCAGATTTAATCAGGCTTCTATACTATGAAAAATGCGGTAAACCCGGTATAGAGGCCCGTTTAGGTGCATTTTGAAGATTTTCGGCTCTGGTAGTAAACCTAGCAAACCTAAAACTTATGTTCATTTAAACCCAGGACCGTACACCCCTAAAGCCTTAACATCCAACACCGGCACAAATCCCTATACGCCCAAAACCTCGTAACACCTTCATAAATCAAGCCGTCATCCTAGAACTGATATAAGCACCAGTAAAACCCTCTGCTTGCTCTCTAAGCCCCAACACCGAGCCCCTGTAGAGCTCATATGAGCCATGTACTACACCCTAGGCATAAATCTCGAAGAAGTGTCGTTGCTTTCATTGGTCTCGTTGGTCTCGGGGGGCGTCGGGCCACCTTGGACAACCTCCGCCGTCCGTTGTTTTCCGCATTCTACAGCATCTATATTTTTTGAGTTTAGGACTGCGTGCTTTTACTTTGCTTTTTGTCTGGGACGGTTCATTCGTTTTGCGGGCTGTCTTTTGGTTGCTTTGACGGCTTAGTTTTCCGGGCTTGCGGCCAGCTGTTCAAACCTTCGGCTCCAGTATTACCATAATAGTTAGGATAGGGTTTTGGGACCCATTATACTATAGTTATAGTAAGGACCCCCCCCCCAAAAAAAAAAAAAATAGTATTGGTAATTATTTAGGCCATTTTAGGCCCCTGCATTATGCTTGTTGGGGGTCACTGTGTTATTGGGCTTGCTGGGCCCTTGAGCCCAGCTAGGGCTCTCTTGATCCTGACAGTGTCAGAGACCTGTATCGGAGCTTCGGAAAAATTGGGGTACCATATTTTGGGGTGCTTATGATCAGGATCCGACTATTTAGGATACTGTATGAGGGCCCCCTCTTTTCGGAAACGCCCAGATGTCAGACCAAAGCCCTACGTTTCGGGGTGGTCCGTTTCTATCACTTGCGGGTACACTTCCTTAAATTAAAGTGTTTTCTACTGGCTTCAAGCACGGATGCCATCCCATGGCCGAGTGGCTGGGCTCCCTGGTCGCAAACACGGCAACCCTGTGTTGAACTAGGATACCCAGTAACCTAAGAACAAAAAGGCCTCTCTTTTTGGTATTGGGTAACTTTATAAGGAACCTAGGACTGCAAAAAGGGAATAAGGGTACTACTGGGCATCCTGGTTATAGTATGCCCTTAAAGCAACCCTGCAGGGCAGGCCTGGTACCGCCCGAAGCGAACAAAGCTTTCGGGCTCCCCAGAGACCCCAATACCCCTTAATTAAGGAATATTCCTTAAATCATATTAGAGATCCTACCATAATTTAAGGTATATTCCTCAATTAAGGGACATTGGAGTCTCTGGGTCTGCTTGCATGTCGAGACCGGCCAGCTGCTTTGGAGGCTCAGAGGCTGGCGGGGCAGTACTACTGGGCATCCTAGTGAATGTAGACCCCTGTTCCGGACTGTTTCGTAAACTGCATTGCACTAAAAGCTTGCATTGTAAGTTAATTGTTATTACAATCCTCTTTACGGGAGGGGGTCTACATGAGGACGATCGACCTCGAGCGGGTGAAGAGCTGCCTTCTCAGCTACTACCGGCAGGCCCCAAACCCGAATTCCACATTCCAAAGCCCTACTTGGAGGATCATGGGGCTTAGCAAGTTGCGTTATAAGTAAAAACCTGAATTCGGGTTATGAGTAGATCTATTGTTACCTTATTCATAACCCTAGTTACCAAGTCCCCTGGTCCTCTAACCCAGAGACTCCAATATCCCTTAATTAAGGAGTATTCCTTAAATTATAATAGGATCCCTAATATGATTTAGGGAACATTCCTTAATTAAGGGATATTGGAGTCTCTGGGAAGTTATAAGTCCCTCAAAGGCCCTGAAGCCTAGAACGCCAACACACCTGTGTAAGCCACGAACAGAGCGTCACACCAAACGCCCCAAACCACTAGCTTTGGAGAATTCCGGGGTTCCATTAGTCTTAGTTTTCGCATAACCATTGGTATTAGTAAGTTGTATTACGTAATATTGTCGGTATGACCTATTACTATTATGGATAGTTTTAAGATCATGTACGTATTATTGTCATTGTGACTTCTTACGATTACGCCTCTTTTGGCAGAAAGTATCATACTTTATCTATTAATTTGTTAGAAAAAAGCGACTATTATGATTACTTCGGGGGTGCTCCCTGGGCCTGCGCATGGACGACCACGGGCTGCTCTGGCATTCCGGGCACAGAGACCCCGACCACTTCCCCGACTGCGCAGGCATACTGTTGATGATATAAATCCTGCATTTCCTTTTGGACCCTAAACTATGGGAGTTATGGTATATTCCTTATGGGTAATGCAGGATTTACACCATCAGCCGTAGGACGTCAGAGTCGGGTTGAAGGCTGAGGGTTGCGGTTTTAGGGTTCAGGGTTTTAGTGTCTCACTTGGGGGGTCGGGGGACTTAGTAAGTAGGTAGTAAGTAGACTTATAAGTACCCTAAGAGGGACCCTAATTGGGGTTATGGTACTTATAAGCCCCTAAAATAACCAGTTACTAAGTCCCCCGACCCTCCAAGCAGGGTCTAGGGTCAGGGTTTTGGGGGTCATAGGGTTCAGGGTTTTGGGGTCTTAGGGTTTTGGGGTCTTAGGGTTCAGGGTTCAGGGTTTTGGGGTCTTAGGGTTTTGGGGTCTTAGGGTTTTGGGGTCTTAGGGTTTTGGGGTCTTAGGGTTTAGTAGGGTTATAGGACTTTAAGGTTACGGTTTCAGGCGGACCATTGATGAATGAGCAGGTTTTCTTGCAGGCATCAATACTAGGATTGCTCTTGGAATCCTACTTGACTTACCTTTGGTTAGTAGGGAATGGAGGAATAACTACTATTACTACCATTTTTCCATTGCCTACTAACCAAAGGCAAGTTGACAGAGCGGGGTGGTTGGTGGCCGGGGTCTACATGAGACTTTCCGGAAATAGGGGACCCTAATATAGAACCCCAAATAGTAGGATACTTATTATAGGGACCCCCAAAATAAGGTACCCCTAATTTTCGGAAACTCCCTAAACCCTAAACCCTGTAGATCCCTTATAGGAACCCTTAAAGGATCCCTTTAAAGGGACCCTAAGGTACCCCTAATTTTCGGAAACTCCCACATTGGTTTTTAAGGCGTGGGCCTCGAATGTCAACTTTCAGGAGTTGAGGGGTCTTTGGTGGCCAGCATACCCAGAGCCTCCAAAACCCCTTAATTAGGGAATATACCTTAAATCATATAAGGGATCCTATTATAATTTAAGGTATATTCCCTAATTAAGGGGTCTTGGAGTCTCTGGGTAGGCGCCTTGATGCTTAGAGTCGGGCTTTGGAGTATAATCATACCATCGTGTATTTATGTCATACTGTAGTGTATCTTTGGTACTATCTATGGGGACACTACTGTGAATTATTCAGGCTGCCTCTGCGCTGGAGCTTGTTCGTTGGGCACAAGCTCTTCTTGCACGGGTTCCAAGCGGCTCTATCGATTTTGAGGTGCGGAGAGGCATAAACTTCGTTCACACCTACAGCCCTGAAGCCCCAAATCGACAAACCTTTAGGCCACCGCGGGTCAGGAAGTCCAGTTAGTAGGATTCTGATTGAAAAGACCGATGGAAAAAAGGAGCACCGATTTTGCAGAATCTCCCTTCAAGTGGACATAAACTGCATTGGGTACCAGGTAAAGTGATGATGGGTGGGGGCCAGTCAGTAAGCGCAGCAAGTGGCAAAATAAGCAGGTTGTAAATACGCTGCTTCGGGTGATACAGCTGTACCCATGTCCCTAAATCCTGAACCGTCGCTAGAGACATTGCCGTCTCACGAAGCGACTGTCCAGCAAAGAGTTGATGTCTCTGCCCGCCGAAGCACTGCTTATCTGTGGGACTTAGAAAGTAGGGTTATAAAAAAGGCAACTATAGTTATCTTAACCCTAAATACGGTACCGATAAATAACCTTACTTACTAAGTCCCATGCTCCTCCAAGCAACAATGCTACGCATGAGAAGCACTCTTCACGATCATGCCAAGGTGGATGGAGGCGGACTGAAGGTCATTACTGGCTGCATTATTGATGCTTCAGCAGCTTGTCCAGTATGACGAGGGCCCACTGGTAGACACCGAACTGCATGCGTTTGAACGGTGCCACTCCAATCCAAGGTTCACGCTCCAAACAAGTGCTACGCAAAACTCTTCGCTGCTTAGTGTGTCCGGGAATTAGGGGCGATATCTTATGGTCATGCAACTTTATGTAGCTTCAGTCTTCGTAAGCCCTTTGATGGGCCCTCACGAGTCAAACCTCCGAAACCACAAAACCTTCTGCAGGTGTTTCCAGCTTGTTGTGGGGGCACAAGGGCTGCAAGAAGCGAGCTCATGCAGGGGCCTCAATAATGAGAATAGGGGTTTTGGGGCCCATTAGACTGCAATTAATTAGACTAAGGAACCCTCCAAAATAAAACATAGTATTATGGTAATTATTTAGGCCCCCCAGTACACTAGAAAGCCCGAAGTCTTTACCAATTCCGACATAAAGTAAAGCCCAGAAAGTTGGAATATGATTCTCCTAAGCCCTTTATGGTAAATTATAGGATATCCTACCCTGAAACCATAGTCCAACTTTCTGGAGTTCCCTTTACCATGTCCGGGCCCGGCACCCGCAGGACCCGTGGGAGGGCCCGTGTAGGGGGTAATGGACGGCGGCTCTGGCGCCGACCTCGGAGAAGAAACGCGGCACGATGTCTTAAGTTTTACAGACAAAACCTTAAACCCTAAACCCTAAAGGGTTCGACAGAGGCTCTATACAGGATCTATGTGGGTTCTATCATGAAGTATAGAACCTGCATCGACCCTGCAACAAGTGGATAAAGTAATGGAATTTAATTTAGCCATCCCTGCACAGCATCCTTGAATCTGTTCTTCGCTTCGCGAATGTCGTTCAGAAGTGTCTTCGTGATGTTACTACAGCAGCCTTAATCATTACCAATACTATTCTGGGGTTTCTTACTGTAGTTATGGTATAATGGGCCTAACACCCCAGTCTAATTATTAAGGCCTCTGTCTTACGGTGTCGTTGGTTCATCGATCTCGCGATCTCCAGATATGCCGACTTACTAAGTCCCATGATCCTCCACTTAAAGGATCAGGGGACTTAGTAAGTAGGGTTATAAGTAAGGTAACTATAGTTGTATCTACTTATACCCCTAAGTATGGTACTTATCACCTACTTACTAAGTCCCATGATCCTCCAAGTAAGGGGAAACTTCCGGGTCATCATAATCCTCGAGGATCGTGCCATTGCAGGAGCATGAACGACGAAGAAGTACTTCGCAGAAAATTCTTAACTCGGCTCCCCAGCATACCCTTGATAATCACAGAAGCCGTTGTGCTTTCGTTCAGTTTTCATATGGAGATCCGAAGACAGATTGTGCAAACAAGGGAAATGTTGGGGAAGCTAGAACTCCCAAACACTCTACCCTCAAAACCTCCATACTGCGTCCGGCGTTAAGGGATTAGGTCTCAATCAGAACACACCAAAACCCCCAAAGCCTAAACCCTGTCTTTCTGCAGCCAAGCTTCGGAGGTTTCTTGAACTGTCCTTGTTGCCACATCCTGAAACCCAGACACTCAAACACCACTCAATCGAGCAGCATGCCTTAACTTTTTCTGGGATTTATTTCCTATATGGTTTAAGGTCTATTCCTCATGAATGCTCTCGTAAAAGGCCGTATAAACCGCACTACAGCATTTTCCTACACAAGAAAATCCCAAGAACAGGTATAACGCCCACATTCCTTAATCGCACCTATGCCGGTTGCTAGGGCTTTTGCAAGAACAGGGGACCCAGTGGCTTTAAATGGGGTTCATGGCCCTTCAATAGGGTGGATGGAGGGTCAGGGTCTAAGTAAGAGCACTTTGATGGTTTGTAAGGGCTCCTTGAGGGTTTAGAGGGTCTATGTGTTGAAAATGAGAGTGTACAGGATTTTGTGACGACCGATTGAAACAGCGAGTTCGGAGTGTTTCTTAGGGTCAGGGATGGTATGATGGTCGCTTGCTGAACCCTAGCCCAGGGATTTATCAGAGGCCGTGAAGGATACAAGACAACCAGAAACAACTCCAGTGAAACATATTTCTTGGGTCGTTCCAGGGCTCTGGCTTATAGCTTTTTTCAGTTTAGGGTTGGGCCGACAGCCGAATTTTTGAAGTTTGGGGTTTCGGTATCGGAGAGTCAGCCCCCACAAGCCCCGAACATTACCCGGACCCTAAGGAACCTTTAGGGTTTCGGGTTTAGGGTTTAGGGTTTAGGGTTTTTTGGGTTTAGGGTTTTGGGTTTAGGGACATGTTTTTGGGTCTCCTTATCATAGTTTTCTTGTAAAACTCCTTAAAAAGGTAGGTTCTTTGGGGTTAAGGTAGAACCTACATACTGTTTGCAAGGGTGCATCAAAGTTGCCACTAATATCTGCATCCCCTGATAGTCCCCTATGTAGTCTGACGGCCCTGTGGTCTTGCTTTTGGTTACAATGCATATACGCATATATGCATGTATGTACATGTATACGCATCTATGTGTATAAAGAGGTGCACATACATGTAATAACCATGTTGAAGTAACTGATTCAAACATGAAAACATAAACCGCAAAGAACTCAATGAATAGCTGTAGCTACAAACACATGTACAACTAAACGAGAAGCATTTCAAGACGTGCGTCTGTATCTCTGTATGCATGTATGCAATTATGTATGTATGTGTAATTTACGCGTACCTATACGTAGACGTAGACACGTATTATCTATCCTTATCTTACACTCAACTTTTCCCCAGAACGGACTCATCAAACCACCACGCTAACAGCCGGTAAACCCTAAACCCAAACCCCTAAACCCTAAATTGGGCTGGGGAGGCTCGCCAGGCTACTGAACCCTTATCCAACCCATGTTAAGGTAGATCACAAAAGGCACCAGACCGATGAATCCCTTTCAATCTGCATGAACATGTAAAACAAACTACATCTTGTCGACCATGTCTATGTAGAGCCAAACCGAAAATACGATTGAATAGAAATTGTCCCCAAGCCCCAAAACCCGTGACAAGAGCCCTGCCTGATGAAGTTGAACACCCACGGCCACATGGCGATGACCCATAGCACCAATCCGCCTTCGATAATCGGAGAGTTTCGGGTTTAGAAAGCTGGGGTCTAGGATTTAGAGAACCTACTAGCATAAGGAGGACATTAAACCTGATCGGAAGTTGACATGTTCAGAAAATTTGAGACGAACTTTAACTTGGATCACACAGTGTAAACGTTTCTACACTGGTCTACACTTTTCATAGTTCAACTCTCCAAACCCTAAAGCCAAAATCCTAAACTACCCAAGAAATAGTGACGAAGAGGTGCGCGAAGGTTTGAGGTGTAAGGTATAAAAGCCAGAAAGTTGGAATATGATTATCCTAACCCTTCTATGGTAAATTATAGGGTATCCTACCATGAAACCATATTCCAACTTTCTGGAGTTCCCTATAGGTTTTTGGGTTGTGCCCTAAACCCTAAACCCTAAACCCCTAAACCCTGTAGGTTTTGGGTTGTGGGCTGCAGGGTGAAGGCGACTGATCGTGCTTTTTGGAATCTAGGCTTAGCAGATTAAGAACCCCGTTCCGCAAGACTCCGCCTGTTTTAGGGTTTAGGGTTTAGGGCCGAGCTTTAGAATTTAGGGTCCCATATGAACGGTTCGAGCACCTTCACACGAGACTCTGATTTGCAATCCTGTGCGTGTCCAGCAATGCAACACCGGAGAAAACAAGGATCCCACTACAAACCATGCTCCAAGATCCGTATGACAGAAACCCCAAGCAGTACCCCTCATTCCAACTTCCTCGGGGCCTTGGCATTCTAGACGAAAGATCCAGGCTTTGTAGGCAGTTCTCTACACGTTAGCATCCCTTTGTCCTTGTAGGAACCCAGTATATTACGGCCCCCTCAGAAAACACGATCCCCAAACGGATCTTAATTCAGAGAACTACCCTTCCGAAGATGGAATTGAAGTTGCGGTACCCTAAACCCTATTTTTAAACCGGAAACCCTGAACCTTTAAACTTTAAACCCTCGATACTAAACCCTCCAGGAAGGCCATAGCGTGGTTCATCTCCAACCTTGTCCGCCCGTGTCTTTGGAAAATGCTAATGCAGTATAGGATGTAGGGGTTTGGGGTTTAGGGCTTAGGGTCTGGGTTATTCTAGGTCTAGGGTTAAGATATCCATAAAGCTTGCATCTCATGATTCCGTCGCGACGTGGTCTTCGGATCATCGCCAAGCTTTCTGCTTGTCTCAGGAGGCGCCTGCTGTCCTTTGACAATGAAGCGTCGCCTTCATCCAGAAAGGTTCCTCCAACAGCGAGTGTATGTCCATCAATGTCCATCAGCTCCCACAGCACTTTCAACGGAGCAAAAGTCCCCCACAGGCCACAGCAATCAACAGTGAGTGCCTCTGCAACTGTGTGCTCTTTAAGGGGCTGTCGTTCTTCATTTGCAGTTTCGAGCAACCCCGTATTCGAGCTATACCCCTTCCACGGTCTAAAAGGCTACTCCAGAGTTCGGGGTACCAAGCCGGTGCTCCACTTCTTACATCTTCCCCGGTTGAAACTGACTAAGAAATCCTCAGACCACAAACATACCCCTTCTGAAGTTAAACTGTTGAAAACGGAACCCCACAAGGAATCCATGACGGAACCCTGAAACGACCCAAGCAACACAAGGGCGAGCCTGCGAAAAGTGGCACGAGTAGCCCGACTGCCCTGAAAGTTCAAGAGCACCCCATCTTTTCGGTTTGAGAACGGCTCGTACAGGGGATCCCTAGGGATTCCTATAATTTAAGGGATCCGTGACTGAGGATCCATATTCTAAATGGATTTCGGCTTTAGGGATTCGGGGGTTTGGAGTTTTGTGGTGTAGGGGCTCCGGAGTTTAGGGTTTGAGAAAACCGGGTTCTACCTCGGTTGTCTTCCGGTCCCGGGTTCTCTCAATCTGCAAGGATCTTATAAGGGGATTATTGGGGTTGATACGGGTTCGGCAATGGGGGGGGGGTATATACGTTCAGGCTTTTCGGATTTAGGGCGATCGAGTTTTAGCAGCCTTTTAAACGCTGACGACAACGGGTTGTCGAGCAAATATAGTGTGAAACCAAACGAAATAGGCTATATGTTTAAGAGGCCAAGCTCGGCAAAACAAGTTCACAGGTTGGGTATGCGACGACTGAACACTATAACAGCATGACATTTGTCACAAAACCAACTTTTACAAACAACGGGTTCCTGCAGCAAAACCAACAAACCATGAACCCACGTCATAGTTGAACTCCTAAAACTTCAAAACTTCTAGTAACGGTTGTAGAAACCTTTATGCCGCCCCGCGTTGTTTGTTTACGGATTTTGGGTGCGTGATTCTGAAACTGCATTGGGACTAACAAGAATACGATTACTACTCTTGAGGGTTCCATATTACAACCTTCTTGGAATCATTTGGGTGGTTGTCAAAATTATGGTCCCTTTTTGGGTCCCTTATATACTACGGCACCTAATACTTACGGTACCCAAAAAAGGACCAGAATTTTGACAACCACCCATTTGCACCTGGTAAAGGCGGGTTTGCGCAATGAGTTGTCTGTTTTCAGCGCTCAACCAAAAGCCCGTAACCAAATAATGCCCTAAATGAATCTGCTCCCAGGTGCACATGAGGGAGGAGGAGGATGCCGAACCTGGGGCGAAACTTGAACGGTTTAGGGCTCGAGGGTTGCATATAGGGCCTTTACAGTACGTGCGTAAGGTTTTGATTCTCCGAGGCTTTATGGAAACCTTATAAAGTTGGGCGGTTTCTGGATGCTTCGCGTGTCCGAAATACTTCGTATGATGTTGAAGAGGATTTGTGAGGTGCGGGTTTAATGCAGATCTCTGACTATTTATTCCTATTCCTTTATGAAAACGCCCTAAACCTCGCAACGAAGCTCAGGGAGTATATCGGAATTCCAGTACGAAACCTTTTGTTTCATCTTTTTCCTCTAATTCGTGTGGGCAATTCCGAAAGCAGCAGCGTTGGTGTGTTGGTAGGTAGTGCTATCATGAATTGTTCCTTTTAGAACTCCTACATTTAGGAAATATTCAACTGTCATTGTATGTAGCAGAGTCTTCATCAGCTCCCTCGACCCTGCAAAACGTGTAAACCGTGATTAGTTATAATCGGACGACAAGTGAAATTGCACAAATTACTCCTCGAACAAGCAGTGTTCTTCGAATTACCAAGGTGTTGGCTTTGATTGCATTTGAAGGCGATCTCATTCACTGCAAGATAGCAGACGTTCAAGGCCCGCTATGGCTAGGTAAGATCAAGGCGCAGTCCAAACCCAGCACTCCAAGCACGCACTCCGGCCCCCCGCGATTCGGCAAGGCTCTACATTGTCCCAGGAACATGAGCATCCTGCCGTGTAGGGCCACTGTGGACACATTCGGCAGGAGTGTGCCATGAGCTAGAATCTGGCATCGGCAAGCAGCATTCCCTGGATGACGAACCCGATTGCATCTCGCGGTTCCATCCCCAATTTGGATCTCGAGATGAAACCTGTCTGGACAAGGAGGGTCACCTCGACCTTAAGGTGCCGGCTTGCCCGACTTTCACTTCCTCACTGCAGCAGCCAGGAATGAGGAGATCTCTTCGTGGGGGTGCGTTTGGAATTTGGACTGGAACTCCTGCTCATTGGCTGCTTCAAAGGTTTCCAGCATCAGGCGGCAGGCAGGATTCGGCGGAGCACCGGCAAGTCGTCGTCTTCCAGCTTCTCGAAGTCCAGGCCCGAGAGGCGTTGCCAGACTTTGGAACCGATTTGTGCGCCATATCGGGGTTCGCTTGCAGCCTTACCCCAAGTTGCACAAGGCCCTGGACCCTGTTCCTGTCCAAGCACGGAGCCCTAGATCCCCAAATCGCGAACCCTGAACCGGCCCAAGCCGAAACTTCAGCATCGCCACCGGCCTCAACAGCTGCCGCTTTCCTCTTCCATGTCCGCAGGGCTGGAAGTCTTTGTCGTTGCAAGATGCAAGGGACCTTGTGGCAGTGCAGCGCCGGGGTTCCTCTTGCCTTGTGCTCTCCGAGTGATGTGTGGCGCGATGCGGCCTCCTCCGGCTAGTTAGCCCAACATTGTCGGGTTAGGCCTACTTCTTTTGAGCCATTGGGACACGACGAGGAATGTCTCTTCAGTGTCGGTGCTGAGGCGTCCCTCGCGATGTTCCATCGAGGGCCTGGCCGACATGCGGAAGGCTCACCATGAAAAAGCACCTGACCAGGTAGTAAAAGTTGATCTGAAATTTCTCTCGCATTCCGGGGTTTTGGTGCAGGGTCATAGGCATGGTGCTCGATCACGTAATATGCGCTGGTCGTTATCACGACTTCTTTCGGGATCCAGTCCGGGCCAGTGTAGACACATTGCGTCGGTGCTTCTGCTGGCGGCATCCCTCACCTCGTGTCCGTCCCAAATCATGTAGGCCCTGCGGCGGAAGGAACGTCAAGGTCACAAACTTTCCGTCTGGGACTGTGAGAAAAATCTTTGAAGACGACTTCGCTCATCGACTGTTTGAGGAATCGTGAACCATCGAAGTTGATTCAAACAACGCATTCACGACGACCTGCTGACAAGAACGTTGTGCGGTTCATGACTGATATGCTTCTCCCCTAAGCCACCTGCATGAGCAACGACTTGCACTAGCTCAAACCCCTATATGGCCAGCTTGAGCACGAGGAAATCCAAGCCATAACGGCTAGCTATGAAGCAGCATCTGCTACCGACCTCGCACCTAAGTAGGAGCCAGCGAAGCCATCCTGGAGCCATCCTGGCCGAAGGAATACAAAGAAACTGGTGGAGAATCTGGACACAACAAATCTGCCAACGCAAGCAGCACCATGTCGTTGAGTCGCGGCAAGACATAGCACGACCCTCGGCATAGCAGATGAACGTAGGCGGTGCCTCCTGGTAACAAGGTAGTGCCGGTACTCTATGCCAGCCTTCCCAAATGCAGCGCAACGGTTCGCCCAGCAGCCCAGCACTGGCAACTTTGGGACGAACCTCCGGAAGCCTTTCCTCACACCGTGCCCAAAAGCAGACCCACTCTGACGTGTGACTCGCAGGAACCACTCGCAGTCCGTGTTGATAAAGTAGCGGCACAAAAACCAAGACCACCAGTACAGAAAGGAGACATGCTGAAACTGACTGCTAAGATATTTCCTGCGCTCGGCGACAAAGAAAACTGACCATGAAAGGCTCCAGTGGGACCGCTTGGTCCCGCTCGCTCGAATCACCCGGTTGGCTGCGGCGCACGCTGCGCGACACAGACGCAGGACCCATCTCCACGGGCGCCCGCACGTGCCAGGCGAGCCAAATCAAGGGATCGTAGTAAGCATTGGGAACGGATGCCCCTTTCCCTCCAGATGAAATGTTGATGTCATCTTCGACCAGTGCCGCTGGGAAAACAGCTGTCGGACGAGCAGAAGCCGTCTGTGCCACCTTGCAGAGGTGATCCCACAAACGTGCCCACTCGGCAAGCGCTGCTTTCAAATCCCACCAAGCGGGTCGACAACGACTTAACACGACTCTGCATCCGAAAGCGCACAAGTCAAGGAAACCTGAGTGGCTTTCTTCACTTGCACCTGGCGCTGGATCAAGTCGGTCCTCACTGAGTCCTCACGGTAACAGGTTTCAGCATGCCTTGCGTCAAGATGCCAAGAGCCACGCGACCTAAATTTGGGTCGGGACTCCGTCTGCCCAACTTGCAACAAGCCTTTTGCAATGACATAACCACTAGATCTGCAGTCACGGGCCAATTTCCACGCCCTTTGCAGCGGCTCCGATAGCGGCTGATGCGACTCCATGAAGAAGAATGCCAGATCATCGACAGTTTCCAAACCTTCCCGCGCTGCCCACTCCAGCAAGCCCGAACAGCCCATCTTCGCGAGCCATTCTTGGATGGGCTCCATCGCTCAAGGCCCAGGAGGAGGCCAGAGAAAATTTCAGAAGGCACGACTCCTTCGGCCTGCGCCAACAGTCATCGATGCATGTCATGCCTGTTTATGTTTGCTGCACCAAACTTGCCCAAGCTTGACAGCAAGAGCACACAACAGCGCTTCGAGCCGCCTTTCAGCTTCATCCTCGCCAGGGATCCACAACGCCTTCTTGTCCTGACGGACAAGATGTTCGTTGCATCCAAGGCGAGGATCCTGGGCTCATTTTCGGTCTCAGAGGCTTCAGCTCACTGGTCAGTTGCGAGTATAAGAGGGACCTGGGAACTGTTTGCAGAGGATGCAGAGGCTCCCACATCTCTCCATTCCGGACCTCTGTCGTTGCGGATTTTCCTCTGCTGGGGTGGAAAGGCTTGAGCCAATTTTGGGTTTAGGTTTACAGTTTAGGGTCTTTTTGAAGCCGTATGGAGATCATCACCGTCATCTACGCCGCGACGTTTTTCAAGCAGAGGGTTTTTAAGCTCTGGCAAGTGCAGACGTGCAGCTCGAAGTAGGAGTTTGAAAGGCAAGGGGGCCCCAACGCAAACGCAAACAATCGGACCGTTGCGATCGAGGACTTCATAAACATGGTCTAAACACGGCACCTGAGGCACCTGTGCTGCTAAACATATCTGCAAGTGAACGTGCAGGCTTGAAGACTCCATTCTGCGCAAAAATACATCACGTAGTGTGTCGAGCTGCTGTTGTTCTTCTGGCGTTGCAACTACGAACCCTGAAAACAGGGCGTCGTGGTGTGAGACAGCGCTTCACTAATTTAATTCGAAGAGTATGGTTCCCTCAGTTCCGTCCAATAGTTATGGTGCAGTATACCCCAAAACATGTTTAGATTTAGGTGTATTCAGACCCCTACTTTGGCCCTACGTTTGGGTGGTGCAGGTCGCACGGTGGCCTTCTGTTGGTAGATTTCGCGCCAAAATAAATGGAATACGGTTTCTCGGCCTCGCGTAGTATGACTTTACTGAGGAACCCAAAGGTTGGCCATTATCCAAGCTTCTGCATTAGATGACAAGCTCTGCATACATGTTGCTTTCGACGCGGATTGCAGGAACAGGGCTGCTCATGATGGTGAATGGTGTGTTGTCGTTTTGATGCGCGTTCACGATCGATGTGTACCCCCACTTGATCGCATCATTGAGTTTTCCCAAAGTGGTCCTAATAATGGTAGTTGCATTGTGGTCCTTTCTTTCTGGTGTTGGTATGGCAGGCCTGACGGACTATTCTTCCAACGGCATGTCTCTGAGGGGCGAATGCTACACCCTTGGTTGCTCAATCCACTGTCATTCAGGCCGATGCTTCGATCTCCAATACCATCCTTATTGGAGAGAGAGAGAAAGAGAGAGAGAGAGAGAGAGAGAGAGAGAGAGAGAGAGAGAGAGAGAGAGAGAGACTGAGAGAGACTGAGAGAGACTGAGAGAGACTGACGGGGAGAAGCTATGTAGCTCCAGATCTTATAGAGTCAGCAAGCATGCAGACCTGGGGCGCTAAGCTGCAAGACCCTGACAATTGCAGTCGAGGCCGTCGAACCGAAGGAGTGATCAACTTGCAATCGTTGTGAAAGTCTGACAGTGAATCCCCGGCGTCCTCATACACCATTGCTTCTGGGTCCTTTGTCCAGCCAAAACAAATTCCAAGCCAACCACCAAATCTCAAGCCAGAAACGAAACCCTAAACCCCTAAACCCGAAACCCGAAAAGTCTCCAAACCTCAAGCCCACGAGCCTTCCCACATGTCAAGCCCTCATCGGAAACTTTGAAGCCATCACCATGGTATGTCGTACTAGGATCCCCGGAACAGGAAAGAAGTGGGAGACCTAGTGTAGGGTCCTTCATAAGTGGAAGAAGTTGTCGGGGATATACTGTTCTAAAATTATGGGGAGACAAGAGGATGTGTTCAGACACCTCTAGTAAGCCACCCCCCCCTCAAGCCTTAATTCACACTCCCTAAACCCAACAGCAGTAATACCCAGAAACCACATAAAATCCTGAAAGCTTCGGGTTTAGGTTTCAGATGAAAACTCGCACAACTGAATTCGTGAACTCGAGCGCTCATACCTTGAGCCCAGTGTCCCCTAAACGCTAAACCGTACCACTATGGGCTATTAGACCCTAAAGATCCCTATTAGGACCCTATTAAGGGTAGATTAAGGTACCCATAAGGTCGAATAGCCCACAGTGGTATACCTTGAGCCCAGTGTCGCAAAGATGCAGTTCTGGACGGTGGGGTTCTTGGCAAACCCGGCCCACATGTGGAGTACCAGGCCTGATCCACCCAAGGTTTAGTGTTTAGAGTTTTGAGATTAAGGCTTCCTTTAAGGGATCTATATGGTTTAGGGTTTAGGGACAACTTAAAGGATCAGGGGACTTAGTAAGTAGGGTCATAAGTAAGGCAACTATAGTTATATCTACTTATAACCCTAATTCAGGTACTTATAACCCTACTTACTAAGTCCCATGCTCCTCTAAGTACTTACTTGGAGGGTCGGTGGACTTAGTAAGTAGTTTTTCTAAAGAATTATGAACGTACCCTACCCCCAATCGGACCCCTTTTTCATTCTAGTTCACAGTCCCCCGACCCTCCAAGTAGAGGACCATGGGACTTAGCAAGCCGGGTTATGAGCCCCTGATCAGGGTTATGGGTAGATATAACTATGGTTGCCTTATTCAGGACCTGACTTACTAAGTACAAATGATCCTCGAAGTAAGCACTAAACCCACAAGTTCTCCTGCAGGAATGACGGCTTAACGATTAGGGCTGTGCATTTGGTGATTCGGAGTTTAGGATGTTGGGTTTAGGACTTTAGGACTTGGTTCTCAAAACTTACAGGATCATGGGACTTAGTAAGTAGGTTATAAGAACTTTAGTTCAGGCTACCATTAGACACAACTATAGTTACCTTACTTTTAACCTTACTTACTAAGTCCCATGATCCTCTAAGTAGAACCCTAAACCCTGTAGATCCCTTTAAGGACTAAGGTACTTATAACCCTACATACTATTTCCCATGATCCTCTAAGAATGGTCCAGAGATTACGATGGGGTCCCTCCTCTAGGGGCCAGGAGAGCCCGAAGATCGCTCAATGTAGGGGCCTAAAAAATACAAATCGCATTTTGGGCTCCTCTAAGGAACCCTCAGCAGTACTTTTGGTAGGTAGTTTAGGCTTGTGAATAAGGACCAGGGCACCTAGAAGCGCCACCAAAACTTGAAAAGTTGAGTTTCGAACCACTAAGATTAAGCTCATGGCCATACCTACGAAGTCCCCTACAGTAAACCCTTACAGAAACCTGAATATTGCAACGCAAAAAGCCTGAACAGCGAGGACGGAGGAGGATCTCGAGGTTTGCTAGGAAGTTGGGTGACGAGGCCAATCATGGCTCCTCAGTACTTCCTTATCGCACTGGCACCGCGTCTTTCTATTCTTCAAGTTTAGGGCTTAGGGCTTGGAGTTTAGGGTCGTTAATCGGGAGATCCCAAACCTTATGGGCCAAAACATGCAAATAGTATATCGGGTTTGAGGTGCCAAATGACAAGCGAGGGTGTTGTAGTATGTTCTCGCTTGAGTCCTTATGAAAATAAATTGTAAAAAGCAAAAAAAGACCCAGGCATGAGGTTACAGATCTGGATCGCGCGGTGTCCTGTGTTTCCAAGCGGCCGCAATGTTCCATAATGGTTGTCAAGGGTTGAAACTTATATACCCTATATAGACTCTTAAACGTCATTAGAGCTCCCTCAACAAGGCCTAAAGGGTCCATATTAGGGGCCCGTACTTCCAAATTTTGTGGTTACTAAATGACAAAGCAGTCTATGCTATAGGTCTTACCTGTTTTTAATAATTTTAGAACCAGGTTACAGGGCATATTCCAGCGTAACTGTAAGAAGGAGCCAGCGGGAATAATACAAACAATTTAGTTCTTCCGACCCCTCTATTACTTCGGGGTCGGGCGACTTAGTAAGCAGGTCTTAAGTTAAGTATCTTGTAGCGTGTTAAACACCCCTGTTAGGCCAACCCTGCGTGTAGCAAAGCTTAACCTCACACTTCGAGTAGAACCACTCTAAACGTAGCACACGGACAATGGCTTGTGGTTGAGGGTTCCATTCAGGATTTAGGGCCTAATGTAGGAACTTGACTAAGCAACCTTGGGCCTACAACCCCAAAATAGTAGATTCATCTAAGGAAGCCTAATAAAGGCCCAAGGTTCCGTAATCAGGTTCCTACATTCTCCTTATAGATCCCTTGTAGTACCCTTGTAGATCCGTTATAGTACCCTTATAGATCCCTTATGACCGTTGTAGATCCCTTATGACCCATCTGCCGTCCGGCGACGCGACATGATGAAGTTCCAGATCGAGAAGAAGAAGATCAGGAAGCCGAAGATCGGGAGGGCGGCCATTCCCATCTCCTGCGAGGATCAGGGGACTTAATAAGTCGGGTTGTAAGTACCTTTAATTAAGGTTATAGGTAGATATATCTACAGTTTCCTAAATAGTAAGTAGGGTGATAAGTGCCTTGAATTAAAGTTATAAGTAGATCTGTATCTACAGTTGCCTGAAAATTATAGCCCTACTTACTAAGCCGCCGTTCCCATCTCCTGCGGTGCCAGAGGCTCAAGGTTCAATTTTGACTTGCCCAGTATCCTTGGCCTTTGAGCTATCGGCGTTGTGCTTTATATTTTACAGAGGCTTTTTTAAGGCGACTTAGTGAGAAGTAGGTTATGAACAGACGTCCAGCAAAAGGTGCCCGAACTGCTGTACCCTAAACCCTAAACCCAACTGTACTCCCGTCTTCTCAGGTCTGATCTTCTGCAGCTTTCGGATGTTGATGCATTCTTCGTTCGTTATGGGGTCCGATGCGCTATCTTATAATGTAGGAGCCTTCATAATTAGAATAGGGTTTGGGGGCCATCATACTATAATCATAGTAAGGAACCCCCAAAATCGTATTGGTAATTATTTAGGCCCCTGTAGTATGGGCTTCGAAGCGGTATCTTATGGGTGCTCAGCCCAGCATCCCACGCAGCTGCCAAAAGCCGGCCGCAACCATTGGCCACTTTTGTAGCAGCTTGCACCTGCCTGCAGAATTGAAGCACCAACTGCGACCTGCTCTGCCCTCACCATCTCATCAAACCCAGACTGATCCCTTATCCCGGACCTTCCAAAATCCGTTAATTAAGGAACAGACCCTAAATCATATTAGGGACCCTACTACAATTTAAGGTATGGTCAGGTATGGTCCTTGATTAAGGGATTAAAACCCTAAACCCTAAACCCCCTAAACCCTAAACCCTATTTTGGAAGGTTTGGGATGTTGATCCACTCAAGCAGTTGGACGATCCGCACACGAGAGAGAGGTTTGGTGCCGAGATCGGCTATCTGATACTCGCCAGGCCAATGACTCACAGTGACTACTATTTGCTTAAGAACCCCCAAAAAAGGAAAAATATATTCCTTATGGGGGTAATATAGGGATTATTATTTCTATTTTTTGGGGGTTTCTTAAGCAAATAGTAGGTGAGGAGTTCTGCATCAATCCTTTCTCTTCCCGCCACAGCTCTCATTCGTAGATGTCGATTTCTCCACCCCGAAGGAGCAGAGTCAAATGCCCTTACAGCTGCAGAATTGTCCGCTAAGAGCGGCACCGTGCTATCCTCGGTCAAGATCAATTAGAGGTTGCACTGACTCCGATAATTGTATGGCGTGTACCATCCCGACGAGCTCGGTTTCAGCAGAGCTCAACGTGGTGAAGGACTGCCGAGAGCTTTCCCATGTTAAGGGGGATCCCCGCCAGGCAATGAACACCGATTGGACAGACCGACCTCCAGCAGGAGAATGACTGGCGTCAGACATAGTCCGCATCATCCCCCCCACACCGACCAAAACCTACCTTCTTGTAGGTTCTTAGTATAACCCCCAATCTGGAATTAACAAGGACCTTAAGAAAAAGCAGGCTCTGGTGGGTTAGGGTAGATGTGTGAGTTGGAGTCGAGACGGGTCAGGGACGAGGATGCCTGCCCCAGGGACATCAAGCTTCCCTAAACCTTAAACCGCTTTAAGACGTTTAGGGGTTCCTTAATCCAAGGGGGAAGAAGGGACCCTAAATAAGGACCCCTAAGTATATACCCTTAATATAGCTATTATATACCCATTATATAGCCCATTATAGGGCAGAGGTCCCCATTAAGGGTCCCTCCTTTTCCCATTTGACTAAAAGCCTTCAATCCAGAGACTCCAATATCCCTTAATTACGGCATATTCCGTATATCATATTAGGGATCCTATTATAATGTATGGCATATTCCATAATTAAGGGATATTGGAGTCTCTGGGTTTAGGGCTTGAGGATCCTCAAGTGCTTCAGTATGGGGCTTTCGAAAGCTACTTACCCAAAGGTTCCAGAGTACCGGTATGGGCGGTTGTCAAAATTAGGCTAATTAGGGTCCCTCATTGGGCCCCTGTTATAATACGGCAGCTATTGTTTAGGGTACCCCAAAGGGGGCCATAATTTTGACAACTACCCATATTGTAGAATGTAGGGTTTCTATATTACGAACTACTGTTTATGGTTTGGGAAGGTATATCCCCTAACAGTACCTAGGACCCTTTGGGTTCACCTTTCGGACGATCACCAACTTAGGGTTTAGGGTGCGCGCCCAGGCTCTTTAGGGTTTATGGAGTTTACAGGGTTTAGGGTTCCCAGAGACTCCAATGTCCCCTAATTAAGGAATATACCTTAAATTATAGTAGGATCCCTTATATGATTTAAGGAATATTTCTTGATTAAGGGATATTGGAGTCTTTGGGTTTAGGGCTTGGGGGCTGAGCATCCTGACCTCAAAAGGTGAACGTTTTCAAATATGGTAGTAGGAATATGGGTAGTTTTCAAGATTAAGCTCCCGTTTTGGGTACCCTAAATAACAGGTGCCGTACTAGAAAAGGGACCCAAAGCAGGACCATAATTTTGCCAACCACGCATATACAAAACAAAGCCAAACGGTAAGACCCCACAACATGTAGATGTTGTGAATCCTAACACCTCTGAGCACCGAACTAAAGTTTAAACCCTGAAGGTTAAAGCCTACCTACCAGGACCCCCCCAAGTACCCTCCAATAGAGCCCTTGTGACCCTTAATAGTGCATATTTAGGGTATAATAGAGGGTAGTGGTGGGGTCTAACCGGGATCCTACTTAGTTGCTGAGTCCATTAGCCACACAAAAAGCGTACACTTTTAGTTCTACAGTGGGCAAGACTATCCCAATAAGCGTAAAGTGTATCCACTCAGCTACTAAGATCATATAGGGGCCCTTCATAATTAGAATAGGGTTTAGGGGCCATTATACTATAATTATAATAAGGAACCCCAAAGTAGCATAGGGTGCCGGGATCCTATGAAGCAGAGCCTCAAGTGATGCAGCCTCAGCCGGACAAGACTTCTCTCCCCCGGCGGCTTACGGGCCCTCACATAGGGGTTTAAAATTTCCCAGCGAGCCCAATACCCCTTAATTGAGGAATATGGCTTGAATCATATAGGGCCTCATAATATGATTTAGGCCATATTCCTTAATTAAGGGGTATCGGGCTCTCTGGTTTAGGATTCAGGGTTTAGGGGTTTAGGGTTTCCAGAGGGGGGCGTCCTAAGAATAGGGTTGTGCGGATTGGGGTTTGGGTTTTGGGGTCTAGTATAGCGTGATTTTGTAGCAACCACAGGCTAAGGGGGCCACAAGTAGTATTAGCAATGTTTTCCAGACGTGAATTTTTTGCTCAATCCTGGCCGAAGGAGGGCTCACTATCATTAAGTAAGAAATACTACTTAACTTAAACTGTCAAAATATCGTCGGAATGTTGAGGGCAACTTCGTAGTAAGTCCACGCCTAAACCCCAAACCTCGAACCCCGGAAACCTAAACCCTTATAGATCCCTTAAAGCAACCCTTATGCCTTTTGGTACCCTTTAACTTAAATGAACCCCTATGCAGTCCGGGTCTGTGGCGAAGCCATTTGTAAAGCCGACGACCATGGCGAAACAGCAACCGAATCGCTGACCTTTTGATCCCTTACACGGGTTTCTGTTTACCCCGGCAATTCCTCTATGGGTCCTATGTACTGTTGTGGGGGATACTTCCCGAAACCATATAGTCTATATAGGTACTTTGGACCCTTTGGGCTCAAGTTCTGAGACAACTTCAGAGTTTAGAGGCCAAGAGCTTGCAGAATTCGTAATCAAGACCACAGGGGCCCCAGAACTTAACATGAGGGCCATGTGTGTGGAACTGCGGTTCCCTGGTATATCATACGAGAAATATGTAAGAGCCACGGGACGTGCTACTGCCAAATACTCACGCCTCTAACTTTCGTCGAAAGTTAGGGTTCGGCGGTAATGCGTTGCTACACCGCTGGTCATCTGTGCTGCGTGGGCTTGAGAACATCAACGAGTTTCCGGCTGCTTTCCGACTGGGTCTTGTAGCGTTTAGGGCTGCCCGGCGAGATGCATGCGAGTTATAGGCATGGACTGCTTGTGCTGGAACCGTGGGGCCGTGGCAGCATGCTCATCGCTTCTGCCGCAGAGGCTAAGGATCTTCCTGCTCATGGATCCGTACCTAGAGGTTCAGGGCTTGTAACCCTACCTAAGGGACTTGCAACCTGTCTGTACTAAATCCAGCGAACCTCGAAGTAATCGTGCCCCTTGTCTCCTGAACCTCCCACATGTATTGTCCAGGTGAGATGATAGACCTAGAATGCTGTGACTCGACGTGACTCGATGCTGCTGATATAGGTGTCTGAATACTCATGCCTTAACCAATTCATCATCCCCGTTGTAGTCATTATATACATACATCTTGTTAAATACCAGGAAACATCTCCAACTGCTATGGGCCCTGTATGAGGGCAAGTACCTGATTGATATGAAATTAGAAGAAACGCCATATGATTGCAACTGGTCATTTCTGCAACTATTGTCTGCATACAGAAAGAACTCAGAGAGGTGCAGCTAGCAGACTCCTTTCTCTTATCCTACGAACTTAGCTACTTACGGGTTTAGAAGGCCTTAAACTGAACCCTACGGGGTCTCAAGCGCTCTGTATTATGGTTTCGGTTGCGGGGAGCTATCGGGGCTTGGGGGCTTAGAATGTTTGGGACAAGGTAAGTCCCCAAGGCCCGGAGCACGGTTTAGGGTTTAGGGTTTAGGGTGCTATTCTTAGAGAGCCAAAGCACGTCGACTGTAGCTTTTCCCCTAAGCCTACACCCTAAACCCTGGTGCTAAATGCATCAGCGGACTTGGTAAGGCGGTTAGAGACAGAGACGGTAGTCCGACAGGCCTAGAGCGCTTACCCTGCTACGTCCTGTGGTGCTACAGAGGCAAGGCCATACTAGACTACTACTACGACGACGACGACGGCGACGACTACTCATTCTTGAGACCTCTAGCTCTGATTCGGAATCCAGGAACTATCTCAAGGTTACCTCCCTCTGGCATTCGCCGCTCTTTTGTCGTCATTCTTCGTCGTCACAGAGCACCAGGAGGCCCAAGCAGAAGAATCCTGGCTGCTCTGGCTTCTTCTTTAGGGGCCTCTTTGAATCCTTATGGGTAGTTCTCTATACCTCTATAAGTCAAAGGTGTACGTCACCCATATATAAGGGACCCTAAACGGAACCCTAATTCAGCAAATCACCCACATCCACCTGCACAGATTTAGCGTCGAGGCCTTTTGGGTTTTGGCTGTAGGTCCGTTAGAGTTGATGGAGCTGTAGTCGTTACCATGCGGAGGTAAAGGTCCAGATTCTAATAAGAAGCCATTGTAGCTTTGGGACATGATTGCAGCAAGCCCCAACAAGGTTGGAAACCGGATAAAGGCCACATAGTGCTGGGATTCCTTTTACATTACTCTTGAGGATTGAAGCTACTGGGTTTCCAACTTTTGGGCTTCTACTCTAACGCCCTTGAGCGCGGTCTAATTTACCTTGAAGACTCGCTGGATCCGTTTGAAAGATCGGTTATGCCGCGCAGGCTTAGAGATCTCTCAATATTGGGGTCCACATCGTACTCCCTGCTTCGAAGGAAAGGGTTCATTGACTGTCTGGTGCTTAGCAGCGAATGGGCGACTGGATCCCTATAGTAGTCCCTGTAAAATCCCCAAATAATAAGTCTCCACAATCCATTCCCCCATTCCCTACTAAGCACCAGACAGTGGATCAGGAGTTTAGGCCGAAACCTGAGCCGCAGCCCTTGAACCCTGTGGCACACCCTGAAAACCCGTACAGCAACCTATAGTACCCTTTAAGAAGCCCACAAAGCCTTATAAGAACCGCATGAGAGCAACATAAAAGCCTGTAAGATCTCAATGAGGGAAGCCGCAAATCACCACTTGGGGGGGGGGTTTCCGAGCGCACTTCAAAGCTCCGTGCTCTGAGGGCGCGTCAAACTCAATTCAGAACTTAAAAGGAACTCCAGAAAGTTGGAATATGGTTTCAGGGTAGGATACCTTATAATTTACCATAAAGGGTTTAGGATAATCATATTCCAACTTTCTGGCTTTTACTGTAAGGTTCAGAGCTTAAGACGAGGATTTTAAGGGTTCCGGATTTAGGGGTTTCTCGTTTCGGGTGGTTTCGGGCTTATATGGGGAGTTGAGTTTAGGGCTGCAGGGTTTGAAGTTGTAGAGGTTTAGGCAATGAGGTGCGCATAACAAAGTCTCGATGGTACTTCCTGTTTGGGCTTAGTTTTTGTTTGAACATCCTAGCCAAGGGGGTCGTAGGGTGCAGGGGTTGGCGCGGAGGGGATGGGGGCTTCGATGAGGAACACCGCTAACGGCTTTAGGTTTCATGCTTAAAGGAGGGAAATTCGGAATCCTGGCGCGGACATTTTGCACTTCTGCGCTGAATGGGGTAGGCAATAATTGTTCGAGACTTTTCAGAAATGGTCGCAACGCAAGCAAATTTCCTTTCAGAGCTTCCAGAGGCTCACCTTGTGATTCAGGAGACTTGCGTAAGACGTACTTTCACCCGGAATAACCTACCTTTTTAAGGACTAGTATATAAGGATCCCTGAGAAGGTGAGTTTTTCAGGGTTAAGGCCCAGGTATCCTCCGAAGCCCTTCTGTTTAGGGCAATTTCAGGGCTTCAATGCCCAGGATATTCACCGTAGTCGGAGTTTCTAAACTAGACCCCCGGGAGGATCCAAAAAGGAGATCCCTTAATGGGGGTTCCTATAAAGTGCCCTTAGCAGTATAGGGCCCCAAATTAGGGGATCTACTTTCTAGATCCTCCAGGTGGTCTGGGAACTAGACCCAAGAGTAACCTGGGAATAGAAAGGGTGCCCTTTTTGGTTTAAAGGGCTTATAAGGGAACCTGAACCCTAAAAAAGGGAATAAGGGCCTATAAGGGCCTATATACTCTAGGTCCTAGAAAACCTTAAACCCTAAGCCACCCAAAATGGTATAGGTAATTATTGAGGCCCTTTTTCAAAACGAGCGGGTCTGGACGAGCGTTGAGATTGCCACCGTTGTCTCTGCAGACCTTGAGGACCAACTTCCCAGAGAGCCCAATACCCCTTAACTGAGGAAGATGTCTTAAATCATGATATGAAATTAAGCTCCTTTAAGGGATCTATAACGGATCTATAGGGTTTAGGGTTTAGGGGGCTCCTAGATAGCTTAAATCATGATATGACGCCCTATATAATTTAAGCCATATTCCTTAATTCTTACATGATATGAAGGCCTATATAATTTAAGCCATATTCCTTAATTCTTAAATCATGATATGAAGCTCTCTATATTTTAAGCCATATTCCTCAATTCTTAAATTAAATCATGATATGAAGCTCTAAATGTTTTAAGCCATATTCCAAAATTCTTAAATCATAATATGAAGGCCTATATAATTTAAGCCATATTCCTTAATTCCCTTATAGAACCCTGTTGAAGGTGCTGCACCCAATGCTTCCTTCTCCTAAAGCCTTGACGGCTCTGTGGGAGCTGAGCTCCCTCATGATCGGCAGAAGCCAGCAATGCACGTTGGAACTTGCACTTACATGCAAGCAGTAGCTAGCTAGTCCAGAGGACAGTCAGTTGCACATTGCTTTGCTGTGCGTGAAGAAAGGTTAGTTGTAAGCCCATGTGCCATCCGCCTTCGCTCTGACACGTTGATCTGAAGCGACTATTGAACTCTTCGACATGGCAGCTAACGACACGCAGAACCCCAATCTGGGCGATGAGCCCTACCGCGAACAGGTTATGATACGCCCAAGTGCTACCGCTAGCGCTACAGCTACGCATGAAGATGATCGAGGTGGAAGACCCCTGGTGAATGGGGTCCCGAATCCCCTGAGGGGATCGCAAGACATTGATGGAGAAGTTTTACTGGTGGCCGATGCTTCGAGGGGACCGACTGGAACTGCGAGTGTGTACCGCCAAGCTGGCGACTTAGGACTGGCGACCGAGGAAGTTGCTGGCCCGGGTGCTAGAGCTGGGAGTGGAAGAGAGGGACCTCAAGATCCCCGCAATCCGCGGGCTACTTCCTCCTTCCTGGGTGCGGTAACGGGAGACTTGCAAACAGCGGGCCATACTTCGACGATGACACCGCAACCGGCAGCTTCGACATCTCCACCGGTGAATGTGATCACTGGAATGTTACGGGCGGTGCAGACACTGCCGACGACGGTGGAGAACCTTGTGGCGCGGACGGCATCGGTTCGTTCGGCTTCTGGAACACCGGAGTACCATGATAGCGTGGAGTACGCCTCTGTGCGAACCTCGCCGGATCGACCACCGGCGCCCCCCAGTTGGGACCAGGCGAACGAACCTCCGCTACTGGACCCCCAAGCTTTGCAGCAGATCCAGCACATCACGGCCAGAGCTCCGTTGCTCTACCCTGCGGCTTCTGTGGAGTATACTGGATACCCGGGCCCTCAAGGCCCACCGTCTACATCTTCGAGTGAGCTGCAGGCCGAGGTTCGGAGGCAGCTTACAGAACTGATGGCAGTTCGTGATGAGGAGAGCCGTAGATTGCGTGCACAGGTAGAAGCTTTAACAATGGAGAACCACAGCCTTAGGCTGAGAACGGAGTTGGAAACCCAACACCTGATGCAACCCTCTAGGAATGTGAATACTAATCCTACGGGTTTCCCTGGACTTGGGTGGTTTGGTAGAGGTTTGGGATCTCTGATTGGCCAAGTGCGGCCGGACCGCGCCCTGGATTTGGGTGCCCGGTCGGAGCCGATACCGCCTCCACCTCCACTTCCTCCTCAACCCTCCTACAATAGCAACCGCCCGCAAGGCCCTCCAAGGGCACTGTTGAACCGCGAGGCAACTCTGGATGGAGCACCAGGCCGTGCGTCAGGAGCGGTTTCCTGGGATCAGGCTGTGTATGGTTTAGGCCTTAACCCGCCTGACCCTAATGAACACCTAAGAGATGTCAGAGTTGATGACTTAAGGGGAACCCTCCCTACGACCTTAAGCCCTCCTCCACCGCCAATAGGATTGCCGACCCCACAGGTTGTAGCAGAACCTAGGACCCGGACTGCCTGACCTAACCCAGTATGTAGTCCCTCCTATGAACCCTCAACCTCCAGTAGAAGCCCCTGCTACCGCGTCTCAGGCGCATGGCCTCGAGCGGCTTACTGCCGGCCGAGAAAGGCCACCGGAGGAGAGTTCCGTCCCGGGTCCAAGCGGACCGTCCAAGGATGCTGTTGATCCAATGAGTGTTGTGTTAACGGGGATGGCACAGTTGCAGTCAGTGGTTCAAGAGATGGCTAGCCCTAAGAACTCCCTAAAGCCCGAGGTAATTAAACCTGGAGTAGTGAGCTTGCCGGAGCTTCCGGCCCACGGTCCAGAGGCGTGCCTGAGCTTTGCAGACTGGTTGCATGCGTCCGGCCCGCGCTTGCGGACATTTCAGATACCTCGGAAACCCTGTGGGCGAAAACGGTTGAAGAGGCCCAGGATTGGTATTCCCGATACCTAAAGCTGGAACCCTTAGCCCGACTCACGGCTAAGCCTGTGCCATCTGAGGAGTTATTGCAGCCAAAATGGACCCGAGTGGCCCGCAGGATCGAGACGATGATTCTTGCGGCCTCACCGCAGACTATCAAGGACGAGCTGAGTGCTGCCAGAGTCTCGGGGCTTTTGCCTTTACTATGTCGATTATTCATAATCTACGGGCCTGGCAGCATCACCGAGCGCGAACTAGGGCTCAAGAATATCACCGAACCAGCGGCAGGCGTAGCAATCCAGGACACAATCGAAGGGCTGCGCCGCTGGCAGCGGTGGTGTAGCCGTATGTCAGAACTCGGCGGTGTGTTACCTGACAGTTCCCTTCAGGTACGAGCGCTCACTCGTATCACGAGAGCAGTGCTCCACCAGAACCCGGAGGTTGCGTTCCGTGTAAACCTGGCCAGAGCTGAACTTCAGATTGACTTGACGCCTGATAATGAGAAGGTTCGGAAACTGCATGCGCAGTTGTTGGGGGAACTAGAGGCTATGACTCATAGAGGGGACAGGGACAAGGGTAACCGGGATGTTCCGACCAACCCACCTGCCCCGAAGATCAAGGGTGTAGAAGCACCTACCCCGGCGCCTCCTCCCCCCAAGGGACCTAAGCCTCCTAAGGTAACCCCTAAGGCCACTGGTGTTCCAAAGCAAGCATCGGCTCAGGAAGCACCGACCCAGCAAAGGCAGTCTTGCACGTTCTTCTCAGGACCGAATGGGTGCAAGAAGGGTGCCGATTGCACATACGACCACAACTGGGCCGCGTTTTCTCCTGCAGAGAAGGCCGCGAGATGTAAGAATTGTGGGGGTAAGTCTCATAAGGCAGCAGACTGTCGTGCCGGCGCAAGGGTGGATGAGCCAAAGGCTAAGGGTAGGCCTAACAAACCGGGCTCCCAACCGAAGTTTCCTTCTGATGTTCCCGCTCCGCCCGTACCGCCATCTGCTTCTTCATCTGAGACTAGCAATCAACACATAAAGAGCTTGCTTGCTGATGCAGCTTTGATACTCCAACAAACTCTGCCTGGAGCCAACCCTCAAGCCACTGACCAATCGCCCATGACTAATGCTACTCCGATGGCACCTTCCCCGGCAGCGAACCCTCCTAAGGCTGTTCCTGCTGCGGTGCAGGGTACTCCGGTGACCCTTGCTTCCCTGAGTGCACAATTGGACCAGTTGAGATCCCTGGCACGTGATCCGGAAGTCAGGACCTGTCATTTGGAATCTGAGGGAGTCCCGGTGAGCTGGGAACCCTGTGGACACAGTGTCCCTTCGGTTTCGCTGGCACAATTGGGGGAGCAGCTTAGGCTTCTTCGGGATTTGGCTGAGCGTCTTGAGGTTAAGGTCTGTAAGGACACGGGTGAAAGGGGATCGGCCTCCGGAGCGTTGTTGGATAGTGGGGCAACGCATGCGGTCATTGCATATGATTCGAACCTTCGGAACCTAGAAAGGGTACCAGTCACGTTGGCAGGTGACGCCAAACAGGATTGGTGGAAAACCAGGGGAGGCACTCTGGTAGTCCCCCCCAATCAGGACCAAGGATCAGGCAAACCTGTGCAGACCATCCTCCCTCTTGGAGCCCTTGTCGAGTCTTTAGGCTGTCAGGTGCAATGGACTAAAAGGAAGGGTTTGAGAGTTACCCACCCGACACTAGGAGTTTTGGCCACGGGAATTTCCTCGAACACGTGTCCCTATGTGCAAGAGGAACAGGCTCTTAAACTAATAGCCGAGCTTGAGTCGCAAAGGTTGGAAGGTTTCAAGCAGGAGGTCCAGAATCTGGAGTGTCAACTTGAGGCTCTTGAAGGCCCGACCGATGCCACGGAAACGTTGCGCTCGTTTGCCCGTACTGGGTGCCGCGGGAATGCTCTGAAGGCAATCCTCGCCCAACCCTACCTGACCTCCCTGCCGAATGCTGTGTTGGTGAACCTGGCTGAAGCAATCCCTACGACCCAGGCTGACTCGGGGAAGTCCCTTCTTAAAACTCTCCCTTTGAAGCATGCAGCACGCCGAGCACTGTACAATTCGGATAACTGGATAGTCCATCTGTGCTCGGGGCCTAAGAAACAATCCGATCCTCTGGTAGCTTGGTGTGACTCCCGAGGCTTTCCAGCGTTACAGGTAGATCTGCAGCAATCTGGTGGAAAGGGCTGGGACTTACTTCGACGATCGGGTGTTTGGAATGTGCTGCTTTGGGCTGCCTCTCAAGGAAAAATTGCGGGAGTGATGTCATCTCCACCGGAACACGATTCCCACCGGTCCCTGCACCTTCATGCCCAGGCCATGTTCGTGTGGTCCCTGGCTTCCACGGTTAAGGGGTTCGGGATCCCGTATGTTGCCGAACACCTAGGCCTTCCTGAGGAGGTGAAGGGTGTGTTCGCAAGGTGGTCGGGCATTAAAGATGTGTCCTTGTTCCAAGGTGCCCTAGGTGATGATTACTGCAGGCCCACCACCCTTGCAACCAATCTGGATGTCTCCTACTTAGCTTCGTTCCCACCGCGGGGAAACACTGCGAGTCCACCAGGTGGCCGTCAGTGGTCACATGCACTCCGTAGAGAGATTGCCAAGGCTCTCTCCGGAAAGCCTTCAACCCCTTCGTGTGAACAGCTTGATGAGGTGATTACTAGGGGGTTGAGTTCATTGAAGACCTCTGCAGCGTCTTCGAACATTGCAATGCCTTCCCTTACGGAGGTGGGTGATGCTGATGGCGTCAGTGATGAAGACCCCTGTGGTGAAGATGAAAATGAGGCACTCTTAAGGGCCTTTGAGGCAGAGAGTGTTATTGAAACGGACGAAGAAGATGACCTCCTTCCTCCCGACCTCATGAGTAGTGGCAATCCGGTAAAAGGGGATAAGAACGTAAGTTCAGCACCGGGGAAAGTGGTTCCTGATGATACCGAACCAGTCACCTGTGAGGACAACCCTAAGGCCGGCCCCGATGAGCACGGGAGTGGTTCTAAGGATGAGCCCGGAGAACTCTCTCACCCTAAGTTGTCGGCATCAGAGGTGGAGAAGTGGCGTGTCCACCTCTCCAACGGACATGTACCTTATAGGAGAGATTGTCGGCAATGCATTGAGGGCGCGGGACTGAGCCACATCCATCGCCGTGTAAAATATCCGAGATCGTTCTCGTTGTCAGTTGACCTCTTTGGTCCAGTGCCTCTGCCGGAGGCCGGCAGGGATGAGGGATGCATCACGGGCAAGAGTTTCCTCCGCTACGGTCTTGTAGGCGCCTTCAGGGTACCGCGCAGCCTCATTAAGACGCCGCCTGACAAGGATGGGATTAAGGACTTGTTTCGCCAGCTTGACCCTGCGCTAGAGGAAGAACTGGCGGAATACGAGCCGTCTGAGACTTCACAGGATGGTCTGGGTAACCTTGATCAGGAGCTCGGAAGTCGCTCTGCTGAGCCCCCTTCCCACGTGCCTGTCGCATCTGTGCTCCAGGAATCCCAGGCTGGCGCTGAGGCTAGCCGTTCCGAAGGGGATCAGTCCCTGTTGAAAGGAGGTATTTTGCGCAGGATGAGGTTGCTTTGGGGAAGCTGATAGAGGAACTAAGGGCTCCCGTTGATCAGGTAGTCTTACGGTATTTCATACCCTTGAGAACAAAGACGGGTGGTGAAGTTACGGAAGCCCTACAGCGTATGATCTTGGGGATAAACCAAAGGTTCCCAGTAAGAAGCATCCATAGCGATCTCGGCACTGAATTCATCTCTACAAATTTAGTCCGCTGGTTAGCCCAACACGGTGTACGTATCCAGCATTCCCTGCCTACCGATAAGAAAGCAAATGGTCTTTCGGAGCGCACCGTTGGCTGGGTGAAGTCTCGCATTCGCACCCTACTTAACTCCGCCAGTATGCCAGTTAAGTGGTGGCCTCTAGCAGCCCGATGGGCTGTCGCAAAGCACAACACCATGATGCTAGGAGAAGCGGATCTCCCAGCCTTCGGCCAGAGTGTCTTGCATAAGATTAAGCGGCCCTCTGATGGGACCAAACCCTTGATGGAACGATGGATTGAGGCTAAGTATGCGGCTCCCCACAGGTCGGTTCCTGAGGGTCATGTCCTTATCACGAAGGAAGGAACCTTGGTCGCCTCAAAGGGTTTTAAGGTGGAAGTTCTAGATCCAACGAGGGTTGAAGAGCTCAAGCTGCCAATTCTTCAGAACCTTGATGAAGAGGTTGAGCCGGTTGGTGACCTATTTGATTCCGAAGGCAACCCAGTGAGGCGGCTGAAGGAGAAGACCGCGATTCGATTTGTAGAATGCCAGGATGACCCCACGTCTGAAGGAGTTGCCCATGGGTTTCTGATTTCCCAAGACTACAGCATGCCAGCGCTTCGTAGTGTGTTGGAGGCCATTGCTCAGGAGGAGGAAAGCACTAGTGACCGTCGAGGGATAGATGAGGGAAGACAGATTTTTGGAGCATACTGTCATGGAGGCTTAAGGGGTGTGACTAAGCTTTCAAGGCGTAAGCCCTGGACCACGACCTTCCTGAATCGAGCCCTTCTGCGGCGTCTGCGACACGACCCAGAGCTTACTTCCCCTTCGTGGTCTGCAGTGATGCTGATGCGGGCTGGAGACGTGGAGGTCCACCGTGACTGGAGGAATGAATGGGGCACACTCAACTACGCCATGCATGTGCCAGGTCAGGTTGAGCTTTGGGTTGAACCGCCGGTTGCTAGTTCTACGAACTCCAAAGGGACACCAGAGCCCACATGGAACGCAGCTGATACTAGGACCCTGACGGACACGCCATGTGCCTTTGATCCAAGACGACACCATGCCGTGAGGGTCCGACCCAACTGGTTGGTCGTGGGCTATACCCCCTTGGGTTCCACTAAACTTAGTCTAGGTGACTTAGCGTGCTTGGACACCTGGGAGTTTCCGTTTGTGTCCCTTGGATCTATAGACCCACAGCAATCCTGGACTCCAACCTTTCAGGAGGAGCATCAGCCTTCAGGAGCCCGTGAGTGCTCTGTTAAGGTCGTGTCTTCATCCTCGGAAGATACTTCGGAGTCTAGCATAACTTCTGAGGAGTTACGCCGCCAGATCGAAGCAACCGCGTCGGGCGAGGTGGATCCTTACCCTCAACTTCCTTCCAATGGTCCTGAGTCCTTGGAAAGTGACTTGCAGCCTGATTCCAGTTCTGTTTTGGTGGGCTGGGACTTCAGCACGGGAGACCCAGGTGATAGGCCGTTGCCGAATTTGGTCAATGTGGCGTTAGCAGATTATCTGCGTGTGCGCGGAGTTGGTGATGCCTACAGTAGGCTGTCCGCTCTTGGTGTTGAATCTCCGAATGACTTGCAGTTTCTTTACTTAGAGGATCTATTGGAGTTTGGGTTCTCAAAGAGAGTTGCTGAAGGCATAATGTTGGGAATTCACCCGCCGGGAACCAGGAGACCAGATAGCCCACAGTTATCTAGCCTCACGACTGGTGAAGTAAGGTTGCTAGATAGGGGACAACGGCCCATCCCGTGGATCATCCAGAATCGTACCCTTGCCCAGAGGTGTCCAGGTCCACCGTTGGCAGGTTTGGGTTGCCGGCAGCCTGATGTGACCCGCCGTTTGATGAGACCTCAGGACAAGGAGGAGGAGTTGGCGGCCCCTGACCCGTTTGAGTTCCCTGAGATGCCCGGTGCAGATCCAACGGATCCTCCTACTCCACGGCCCTTGCAAGACATACCAGCCTCGTCCAGTGAGCCACCTCCTAGGAAGCATGCCGCTGAACAGGCTATAGAAGATTATCAGTATATGATGTACATGCAGTCGTTTTGGGGTGATGAAGAATGGGACCCAGGGTCAAGCTCTAGTGGACCAGCAGCCCAAGTGCAGGGTTCAGTGCCGCAAGCCATACCCGAAGGTGCCGATCCATCCACTACGAGTGCTGCAGTTCGGGTGACAGGACAGCAGAACGAGGAGCAGGCCCCAGGGCCTAGTGAGGCCCATGCAGATCCGACGGATCCTCCTACTCCACGGTCTGAGTCGCCCTATAGTTGCAAGACGGTTGATCACGGGTCCGTAGAACAGCTCGGTGGGATACAGGGTAGCACGAGTCCAATGCCCATAGGCTGTGCGTCTGGGGCTAGGCCGGTGCAGTCGTCGTCAAGTCACTGCGTTGCTAGTATCGGAGTACCGACTGAGAATCCACTGGTTGGGCTGAGTGGAACGGCTAGAGACCATGCTGAGCGTGTGGCAGTAAGAAAGGTCGATGATGGAGGCTTCACTCCCAACATTGAGGACTTACTCTCGAGTTTGGATGGACCGTTGGAAGTCACCCATAACGTGGCGCCTGCAGATGTCCGGGGAAACCTGGAGAAGTGGCGACCAGCCGCTAAGGCCGAATTGGACACCTTTGAAGCTATGAGCGTCATTCGCAAGTTTCACGGCCCTGAAGCCCGTGCAATCCTGAAAGATTCAAAGTACGAGGTCATTCCTGGAAAATCTGTTTGTACGGTGAAACCAGGCACGCCCTACAAGAGGAAATTCAGAATTGTGTCGTGTGGAAACTTCGCCAAGACCACAGCTGAGAGCCAACTTTACGCCGGCGGAGCCGGGGCGGAAAGTCTCAGGGCTTTGCTTGTACATTCGGCTCGTCGTGGGCGACGTGCATTTGGTCTCGATGTGAAATCAGCCTTTCTACTTGCTTCCATCCCAGAGGGAGTCACGAAACGCTACGCTATGCGACCGCCTCGTTTGCTGATCGACTTGGGGTTGGCTAAGGAAGACGAGGTGTGGATTATAGACAAGGCGCTGTATGGATTCAAAGAGAGTCCGCGCTGGTGGTCTTTGTTTAGGGATGAGTTCCTTGCCAAGGCGAAGTGGAATAGCGAGCTTGGAGAGGTTAAGTTGGAGCAGCTATCCTCAGAAAACAACGTGTGGAGGATGACTCATGAATCTGGCCTCTGCATTGGACACTTGTTGGTGTATGTTGATGATATGCTCCTACTGACCGAACCGGAGGTAGCTCGATCCTTCATTGAATGGCTTCGAAATTCTTGGGACTGTACTGGGCTGACGGAAGCGACGGCTGAAGAGCCCTTGAGATTTCTGGGTGTAGACATCTATGCAGAGCTTGATGAGGACCAGAATCTGATTGGGTATAGCCTGGGACAGGAGTCATATATCGCTGAGTTGATGCGCACTCACGGAGTCGTGGCCCACTCTAGAGCTACTGCCCCGGTGCCCAAGGAATGGGTACGCGAGGCTCCTTTGGATGAGGAGTTTACGGAGGGCGACTTGCGCGCCGCCCAGAAGATCACTGGGGAGTTGCTGTGGATAGCACAACGGACTAGAATTGACGTGGGTTATAGCATTGGCTTGATGGCGAGCTGGGTTGCTAAGTATCCCCGCATGGTGTCCAAGATAGGACACCGAGTCCTGGAGTACTTGGCTGCAACGCGAACCTATCGTCTACGGCTGATTCCTGGCAAGACGAACGGCTTGCAGATCTACACAGACGCCTCATTCGCTCCCCATGGGAGTCACTCGATAAGCGGAATTGTACTCCAGTATGATGAGTGCTCTGTTGTTTGGAAATCCAAGCGGCAGAGCATAGTTACACTGAGCACTGCGGAATCCGAATTGGTCGCAGGATGCGAGGGTGTTGTGCTGGGGCAGTCATTGGAAGCTTTGATCTCCGAGCTGGAAGAGTCTCAGTGCCTCAAACATCTTCTGGTCGACAACACCGCGGCTGTGATACTCACCGAAGGGGGTGGAAGCCAACGAACGAGGCATTTGCGTGTCCGATCCGCATTCATGCGTGATATGGTTGAAAGAAGTGAGCTAAAGGTCTCTCACTGCCCAGGGGACATCCAGCTTGCAGACTGTTTAACAAAGGCTCTGTTGAGAACCCGCCTTGAGGACCTCTGTAAGCTCTTGGGTTTAGGACCCCCTAGGGATGACCCGCATGTAGCGTGCCTAGAAATGGAGGGCCAAGCACCTCCTCTGCCTGTGTCTCCAACCTTGCCCAGGAACGCCGAGGTGGCCAATACCGCCAGGGCGATGCAACCGTTGGGGTTTGAGGGAGAACGTTTGAGGATATGGTTGATAGCCCTAGTCCTTCTGCTTCAGAGCGAACTTGGTGAAGGTAAGCCTGATGAGGACCAGCCCGGAACAGAACCCCTGAACTTGGAACTGTCTCTGATAGTTATCTTGATGGTTCTTTCGGTGCTGTTTCTTTGGGAGTCGGCTAAGTACTGCGCCAGATCCTGTTGTCATAGTGATAGGCATGCGGTGAGGATGATTGATGCCGAAGAAGATGACCAGCGCCAAGCCCGCAGGGGAAGACGTCAGGAAACCGTGAGGAGAGCTATAGCTAGGGAACTGGATGGTGAGGGCCTAAGAGCTAGGACCCCACAGGCACAGACCAGTGAACTGGCCTATACTCCCCAACACAGTCTTCCCTTTGTGCGCGTGCAGGTAGAAGCACAGTCTTCGAGCCAAGTCCTGGACTTACCTCCACCGCCTCCACCTTATCAGTCTGAACCTGCGGTATCCATTCCGCCACCGCCAGTCGAGGGATTTGACTTTGATCCCAGAGCCCAGAGC